GAGTGTGTGTGTGTGTGTGTGTGTGATGTGTTTATGTGTGTGTGCGCATACGTGTGTGTGTTTTGAAACAGAGAATAGGAGAAAAAAGGGGGGGTGGGGGCATTTTCCAGAATGTCACGCACCAAGGAATGGATGGGAACCTCGGTCCATGGCTATAAGGTTAACGACGTAAATATTTAAAGTGTAAAAGAGATTCTCGAAAGAGCGTGGCCAATGTTAATCAGAAGCTAAAAAGAGTCGGTTACCAACCTAAATTAGATGGCAAGACATTTTCTGAGAGAGTCTTTCAATACCTGAATCAAAATTCTCTGTGTAATAATAATTATCTTCAAGCGCTAATGAGAACGAGTAGATCTATTCACTAATATCTTTTTTCGGAAAAGTGGACGTAGGCTTATCTATGAGGAAAATGTTTGGCCTTTTTTCTATAGGAAAGTATATAAGTATTTAGTATGTACTTATAATAATAATAATAATAATTTGTATACCGCCTAACCGCTATAGAAGGCTCTAAGCGCTGTATGTACTGGGTGGATACCAATGGTTTTCGAGTTCGAGGCGTTAATTGGTCGCTTTTAAGCACAAGGGGGCTATCCCGAAAAATGCTGTTTTGAGAAAATTGAAGGTAAAAGTTTTTGCACCATGTTCAGTTTCTTTAAAGGTCAAGGGAAGTTTTCTCTATAACCAAACAAATATACACACCAATGAAACCAAACTTCTCCTATAGATGGGCCAATGCCCACTTTTGATGTAGGTCAAGATTTCTGGAAACTCCCGAAATCTGGGTTAGCCCGCTTGTCCTCAAAAGCGACCAATTTAGGTCCAAAATTTTGATGGGCGTGTCTCGTAAACTAAACTCAACGTATGAGCCAAATGCTATCCTTTTTCAACTGTGTATAAAACATTGTCTTAGTTAGTTAGTTAGTTAGTTAGTTAGTTAGTTAGTTAGTTAGTTAGTTAGTTAGTTAGTTAGTTAGTTAGTTAGCTAGCTAGTTGGTTAGTTAGTTAGTTAGTTAGTTAGTTAGTTAGTTAGTTAGTTAGTTAGTTAGTTAGTTAGTTAGTTAGTTAGTTAGTTAGTTAGTTAGTTGTTCGTTAGTTCGTTGTTCGTTAGTTCGTTAGTTCGTTGTTCGTTAGTTCGTTAGTTAGATGGATAAAAAATTAGTTAGCTAAAACTTGATTAGTGAGTGAGTGAGTGGGTGATTTAGTGAGAGAGTGAGTGAGTGAGTGAGTGAGTGAGTGAGTGAGTGAGTGAGTGAGTGAGTGAGTGTGTGAGTGAGTGAGTGAGTGACCTAGTAAGTTAGTTAGCTGGCGAGTCAAGTAGTAATTGCTGTATCTTTCCTTCGGTAATTTCTGATTATATTTTGTTCTCTAATTTTTTCACTATTGTTTCACATATTTATTTGACCATAATTATTGTTTAGAAAGTCAATTATGTGTTTGTTTTTATTGTTGGGTTGTTTTTTTTATCTTCTTAAATTTCTTGTTAGGCATCTGTAGTTCGCAAGTTAATTTTTCAGTTTTTAATAGCACCTTTTGTTGTGTTTAGTTTTTTGGAAGGATATATCAACGTCTCACAACTCGTTTGTAGGAATGGATAAGCTTGGTGTCAGAAAAGTAATTCTAACATAGACATAATATGATTTTCATAAAACCTATTTTCTTATAGGGATATTCTTTTCAGTTTTATACCTGTTGACGCCGCATTTCGTCAATGAAATCAACAAAAAATGTTTTGCCTCAATTTTGAACCGTTTCTAAATTATTATTAATTTACTTGATAGTTCTCCTTTTCTTTTTTTCTTTTCTTTTCTTTTTGTTTTGTTTTGTTTTTTTGTTCGTTTGTTGTTATTTTAAATGATATTTTATACAGTTGTACGGAGTGTTGCATCTGTTTGTTTTGTCTGTTTGTTTGTTTGTTTTGTCTGTTTTTGTGTTTTTTGGGTTCGCCTTTTTTCGTTGTTTGTTTGTTTGTTTGCTTGTTTGTATTTATGTTGGTGTGTTTGTTTGACTGATTGTTTATTTAAAGTACACAGCGCTAGTACTGCTTCACCAGTGAGTAGAAAAGTGTCCAGAATTTATTAACGAAGGCTATTCATAGAAATCTTGTTAATATTTCGCGTCAAAAAAAAAGGAAGAAATATCTTAGATATATTATTGTGGTCAGGAAGATTGCCTGGGAGCCTAGGCCTATTTTCCCCTGTATCACAACTGATCAGAAACTGGACAAGTACACCGAGCTTGTATTTCAATTCCAGTACATGAATCTCGATATCCGCTTCAGGTCTAGAGCTTTCTTGCCTTACCTCAATAGATCTAACAATAATATTTTTATCCACAACCCTCACTTTCTTTCATTCTCTGAATTGCTGCCCTCTTTTATCCATTTTTCATTCTTTTCTTTTTTTCTCTCTCTTTTAAAAATTTTTTTTTTTTCTTTCTGAAAATTGTGTTGTGGTTGTTCACTTTGTTCACTTTGTTCACTTTGTTGACCTCTCAGGGATTTCTAGATCTACTTCAACTGGTCCAATTTTCTCTTATTTGCTTGTTCAACATTTACTTAAAACCACATCTGACTGTGTTTGTGTGTGTTTTTGTGTTATTTTCCTTTCCTTTGAACTTAGTCCTGTATACCTATTTCATTCATTCATTCATTCATTCATTCATTCATTCATTCATTCATTCATTCATTCATTTTTTCAATCATTCATTCCTCTAGTTCGTTTTTTTTTTCATTCATGTAATATATATAATAATATATTTTATTATATTTTTATTACATTCGCGTGATTATTTATTTTTTCCAGTCATTCACGTATTTAGGTTCATTATATCTATTTTCTATCTCTGTGATTTCAGTTTCAGTCCACCCTTTCTCTTTTGTATTTCTTACTGTTTCACATTTGTTTTCTTTCGTGTTAGTTTTAATTATTTTTTTCCTCTCCCAAATTTACTAGAGTCCTTATAACGCGCGCTCATATGACCTTATGCAGTTGCGAGCGCCGTAAAACCCTATACTACTACTACAGTCCTTATCTAGTATCATAGAAGGTGACCAGGTTTATTTTTTTTATAAAACTAAAAATTCTAAGAATTTGTTTCCAGTCTGAAATTAAGAGATTAATATTTATAAGTTTAAGTTTTAAATGACAGCTACAAACATAAGTACACTAAATAATAAGTTAAAATGACGTTTTACGATAATGCAATTAGCCACATCAAAGTCCCACAAAATGAAGACAAAATTAACGAAGGACACAATTTTTTAAAAATTACATACTCTCTAATTGGCGGTCAAAACTTTTTTGAACTTAGATCTAATTATAATTATTCGTCTATCATCTCAAACAAACGTTTGTTGAAGCTATCTGAATAATAATAATAACAACAACAATAACAATAATAATAATAATAATAATAATAATAATAATAATAATAATAATAATAATAATAATAATAATAATAATAATAATAATAATAATAATAACAATAACAATAATAATTTGTACAGCGCCTAACCGCTATAGAAGGCTCTAAGCGGTGTACAATATTATAGACTTAGGCTATCACTCAACTTAACTGACAAAAAATCAAAAGTATTAAATTAATTTGACGCTTGTCAGTCTCTTTGACTACAGTTTTCCCACCTACCGTTTAAAACCGTTGAAAACAGTAAACAAAGTTAATAGGTCTTCTGAAATCGTGTTGCTCTCTTACATTCAGGTTCTAGACAGACTTCACACTACAAAGTAAATTAATTATGTAGTAACTTTCGGGCGTAATAAATCTGCAAGGGAAGAAGCCTAGACTAGAATTACTTGTGTTCATCAGTTTATTGAAATCACTTCGGGGGATCTCGGGGTTTTAGTACGTATAAATTCTATAAGAAATGAATTTTTGTAGGCTCTTTGCTCTGTTCACTTGCTGTGTTATGTATTGCAGGTATCATGTTTCATTCTCGAAAAAATTTTATTTGTCTTTTTCCTATTCCTACGAGATTGATAAGATGTAGAATAACAAAATAAATTAAATAGATAAATACTAAATTAAAAAACTGACCCCCCCCCCCCCCCCCCCGCCGAAAAAAACAACAAAAGAACAGGCAGACACAGACATACACACACACTTGCAAACAAACAAAGAAACAAACAAACATAAGCCCAACTTAGAACTTTTAGGAAGCAGGGTTCTTCGACTTTGCCGATCCAGGGACAACCCGGGCTGGGTGGAATGTGGTATCACGTAGTACGTAGATGTCAGACGGAGATACTCTGTACCTGTACTTAACTATGTACTTCCTCACTAGTGAATCAAAGTCATTTGCACGCAGTGGTGAAGATCTTGACTATGACGCTGACTACTGACGCCAATGCCTGTCCCCGTGGTTTTATGCACACAAAAATTCTGAAATTATGCAAACTGAGCCCAAAAATGTGAAATTATGTGATTCTGTTAATTTTAACAAAGAATGATAACGTAAAATAATCAGAAATTATGCTCACAAAAAAATGATCAAATTTTGCTCAATTATGTGGGGTGCATAAAACCCCGGGGACAGTATGACAATGACTACGGACGCCAATACAGACAATACTATGCGGCAGGGGAAGCGGAATAGCCAGGAAGTTCTGACTTAGCTCCAGAAGATGTTGCGAAACCTGACAGTGTCGCTAGATCTATGCCTGTAAGTTGACTGAAGTCAAGGATCGTCTCAAAAGTAGACAATGTACACTGTGCGTAGAGTAATATATCTAGTTCTTTTTCAGTGCTAGTCAACCTGTGCGATATTTCCCACGTGTGGGCGCTTTTTGGTGCTGTTGGTGGGAGGTGGGGAACACCTGGGTAGGTATATTATGTATTATTTAAGACTCCGATCGGAAATTCCTTTATGTAAATTGGCAGTACACAAATTTGAACATCATAATAAAGATGGCAAAAGTGGGACCTGGTTATAGAACTACATAAAGAAATGTTCTAATGGATTTATGTACACAGTTTCTTACCTCAAAAGTTGTGTCTCCCTTGATATCCTTTCCTTCGTTTGAAAAAGTGATGAATTCTTTAGGTCAGACGTATAGTCCATACACCTGTTATATCACACGAACACCGCAATAACTGGTAATCAAAACAACAGCGCGTCGCGTCACTCCTCGCACACACAGATAATATGCTATATCTATGCACACACACATACACACCAGTATTATACTACGTCTGTGTAGTAGCCTGTACCACCCACGGCCGACACAGAGGGAGAGGGACGGGAAGGAAGTCGCGCATAAACCATGCCAGGACGCACGCCGAGTGATTGGCAATCAGCTGTGATCGACTGTTGACGATTTTATTATCAGTTCCTTTCTGTTGGAGTGTTAACTCTTTACTGACGTCGTGGAGACTTTTATCGTTTGATCAGTAGCAGCCACAGATCGAAGGTAACGTTGGGGACACTTTTAACAACACCATCATACAGAAATCACAAACACGAATTTACGTAGTTCACATTACGCACGTTGTTGTTGTGTGCCTTTTTAAAGATTAAGTTCAAGAAATCAGAAGTGAAAGATCTTTGTGAATAACGAAGTTACGCTTCTGTTGTTGAAATGCCGTCCCAAAACATTACGTCATATATAAGGCCAGAGTCGGCGACTTGATGACCAGAACCGCGCGGCTTTCAAGGAGTTAACAACTTGGCCGGCGTGAGGCGAGTAGTGGTGGGCAAAATCCGGTTAACCTATCCGAATAACCGGATAATTCTCAATGAAACATTATCCGAATTCAGACTCTTAAACTCTCTTTCTGGACCTTTTTGCCGAAGTGAGTGCACCCATTTGTTGACGTGGTTCTAACCCGTTTCTCGAAGTGGTTCTAACCCATTTTCCGAGGCCGTTCACAACACATTGAACTGCAAAAGAGGTGCACTAACATTTTATCTGGATTTTGTTTGAGCGACTCATTGCCCAGCCCAAGAGGCGAGAGAAACGGGGGCCATGGAGCGGGGTGTTGCTTGACGCTTGAGAGCCAGGGGCTTATCAGACGATTCATACAGCACCCCCTCAGGCCCCCCTGGACCGCCACTGCCAGCCGACTCTCTCTTTCCTCCCACACTTGGGGACGTCAGGAGGCGGGGCCAGAGAGCGTTGACAGACAGGCGTACGGGGGGCGGACTAACAAAATGATTTATTGTACTTGTTGTCACCCTCTAATCTGCGCTTCAAGCACAGGAAGAATTAGCCACGAAAGAAGCTGCATGAAGACAACCTTGAGACCTTCTTAACAAACGGACCGTCTGCATAGATGAAAAGAGCCATACAATGTCACCCTTTTCCGAGTCGTGAGCGCTGCTGGTGTTGGTGAGATTGTCGTGTGTGTTGGTTTCGTCGACTTTGTCCTCATCCTTCGTGTTTTCATTCTGATGATGATAATAGACGACAACAATTGTGCTTTATAGGATTGATAAATTGGCACCTGACCCTAAGGTTCAAGTTTGGAGAACATCCAGCGCGAGAAAGGGAGTGCTCTTGGACACCTGGTTATCCACTTGCCCAAATATAAACGGATTAAAATTTGAGACAGGTCCGAATTTTTGTCGTCTTTTTGTTTTTAAAAAGGTAAACTGGGTAATCTTCTCTGAGCAAGGTTTCATATTGAAGACAGAAATAACACCTCACCCTTGAAAATGGGCGAGATGGCGAAAGTCGTATCAGGAATGGCTTAAACTCTGAAACATTTATTCCATCCATGTCCTGAAAATGAACAGAGGTACGTCTTCTTGTTCTTCTTCTTCTTGTTCTTGTTCTTGTTCTTGTTCTTCTTCTTCTTCTTCTTCTTTTTCTTCTTCTTCTTCTTCTTCTTCTTCTTCTTCTTCTTCTTCTTCTTCTTCTTCTCTTTTCCAGAAGTTGGACGTAGCTTGCCGGACCTTTCTGTATTATAAATAAAACATTCTCGGCAGACCTTTTGCCTACCTGAGTTGCGTTCGTTCCAGAAAAAAGGTACGTAGGATCGAGAGCACAAATGTAAAAATACACACGACAGAACCACTTGTGTCTTGTGTGTGTGTGTGTGTGTATGTGTGTGTGTGTGTGTGTGTGTGTGTGTGTGTGTGTTCGTGTGTGTGTGTGATGTACCGTCTGCGCCTACAAGGACAAGGCCTCTTATCGAACGCACGAAAGCACAACGCAACTGTACCTGAAAAAAAACAAGTGGTCGTGCCGGATTATAGTGTCAACACTTGGCGCTCCGAAACACGGGCTGTCAGCCAATCAGAGCGCGAAGCTAGCAGATGGGGATTCCACGTCCTATCTCATTGGTCGATACGACTGGTGTTGTTTGAGCACATAGGACGAGATCGAAACAAGGTGACGTCCAGGGTTCAGGTTCTTGTGTTGTATGGTGAGAAGTAGGCTTAGTTGACCCACGCAGAAAAGCCTTCTGTGACCCTTTTTCTTTCTCTTTTTTTGGATATCTGTGTGTGTGTGTGTGTGTGTGTGTGTGTGTGTGTGTGTGTGTGTGTGTGTGTGTGTGTGTGTGTGTGTGTGTGTGTGTGTGGTTTTGTCTCTCCGTGCCCTATCTCGCTGTTGAGGCAACGACAAGAGGTGACGGAGCTTGTTTTGGCTTCTGTAGTTCCCACACTTTGACGGCGTACTAATCCTTCTGCGTAGGACCCACACACCCACCCTGTCTCTCTCTCTCTCCCCTCAAATCAAAATACACACACGTGCACATGCACCTATTTTGCGTTCTGAGATTAAACGGAAGCTGTATTAATCTTTTCTGCCTCCCTTTACCATATTTTTTCAGTGTGCAAAACATCGAGGCGTATTTTTTTAATTTTTTTTTTTTGGGGGGGGGGGTTGTATTGTTTTTTGGTTGGGTTTTTTTTGGGGGGGAGGGGGCGGAAATGGTCTAAAAACCCAAGCTCAAAATTATTTAACCACTAAAATATTTTACGTCAAATTTTATAAATGCACTAATCTTAGAAATGAGAATCTCAGTTCGCTTTCAGCATTCGCATCAAACAAACGGAAAGCTCGCAAACATTGAAATTAAAACACTAATAATGCTGCAAGTTCAGGTAATGAAAGATGATTTTGGTTGTGGGAGATGTGTAGTGAGGGAGTTTTTATGTTTGCATAGACACAATTTAGATAATTTAAGAGATGAGATGCGACCCTTGCTTCGGGGCCAACCCTAGCTGAGAGGGGTCCACCAATGCCCTAGGTGAAACACCCAAGATCTGGATAAAAATTCTTTCCACGTAGGAATCGAACTTGGGTCATCGGCGAAGCGCCTAACCGCTACCCCACTGATGCTGGCGGGACCCGTGAGAGGGAGAAGAAAGTTACGTAGGAGGACACTGAGTACGGCCTTGGTCTTGTGTCATCAGAATAAAGCTGGACAGATTATATGTGATGCAGCTTTGTGAAATCAGGCTCTCGTCAATTTTTGGGCATGTAGCCTTATTGGTATCATTTTAAAGCGTGTTCACTTGTCTTTCTTTGGATGAAAAAAATATCAATTTATCTAGAATACAAGTCGAGATATTTGCTAATGAAGGAGGTGGGGGTCACCTGTTTTCAGAAGAAAAATTAGTGAAAAAATGGCCGCCAAAGAGTAGTTATTTCCATAGCTTAAAAGTCCGTGGTAACTGAAAATTTCCATTTTTTCTGCCTCTAATTATCGTTTTTCAGGAAAATCCACACAGAAATGAGTTCTTTAATGGGCATGAAAAGTGTTGAGCCAAAAAACAAAAATTTAATAATAATTCACAAACCTACGGAAAAAAGCAGGTTTCTTCACTTTGATTATTTTGACGAGAGCCTGATTCCACCACATTGCCTCATATATAAAACTAAAACCTCTCTTGTCTCTTCATAGTTTTTCCAGTAGTTGGACATTGCTTCTCGGACATTCCTGAATATTTCCTTTATAAAAAGCAAGGCAAAGGTACCAAAAACTCCACATGCCCCAAAATTGATGAGCCCCTGATTCCACCACGCAGTGACACATTTATAGGCGCTAAAACAATAACAAACTGACAATATCTTTCGTTGTCTATGGCTGGGTACCCATTCCCTCCTGGGTGAAGTGAGGAAAATTCGTGTAAAATGTCTTTCCCAAAGACACAACGTTGGGCGCGCAGCTTGAACTCCCAAACCCGCAACCTCACGATTACGAGCCCGGTAGCGTAACCACTAGGCCACCGACATTGTCACCCTGATATAATACATTATGTATTTTTGTTTTGTTTTAGTAGAGGTTTTACGGCGCTCACAACTGCAAAAGGTTATAATATGAGCGCCAAGGGATGGATGTCAACAGAGAAATCCTTATAGGGAATCAGACTTACTCTGCTCACTTCTCTAGCTTCAACAGCAGAAAGTCAGCTTCGACTATCAAGGCACCCCGAAAATAGCGGGTCACAAGAGTGTGACATACATACAAAAGAAGTAGAGGAAAAATGACGATAGTAAGGATTCAGAAATAAAAATCAGCAGTCTCTTCCGCAGTTCAGGCACAGTTATGAGCATGACATTGATTAATCAACCCATTTACAATTACAATTCTATTGTGCATAGGAACTCGAGATGTAAATGTCCCCCCTTTGGGAATAGCTTAAAGACATTTCAGTCAATAGCACCCCCCCCCCCCCCCCCCCCCCCCG